CAGTACCATCAAATCGCACATGTTTTATTGCCTGCACCCAACGACGAAATCATGGACATCAACCCGAAATAAGAAACTATCAACTGAAATCGACATCCTCTTCTTTTCAGAAGAAAAAGGTAAAAGAAATCAACCGTTGAGTATTGACAAAAAAAATGACGAATCATTCACTTTCTCCATTTCTTGTTCTTGCTTCTCTGTACAATGCCATCGCCTTCTCCATGACCTTGGGCTCCGCTAAAAGCCGTGATCTTTTCTTGCTAGAAGGATGAGTATTTTTGTACTGTTCCAATACCGATGTGTTCCCACTGATCTTTCCTAGCTTCTCGTCCACCTCGCGTTGGTCATGATGCGGTTTTGTTGCCCTGAGTTTCGCCTCCTTGCCTTTCCGGCTGGAGTTGCGAGTTTAGCATTGTGTTGCTCTGTCCCTACCCATATTTAGTGGGTTGGCCTCTTTCTATCTATTCTATATTGTTGTTTTTGTTCTCTCCTACATATCAATGAAAAGATACGCAGTTTTACGTATTCATGGAAAAATAGCCATGTTCAAACCCCGCAAATCGAAGAGGCCGTAGGGGTAGACACAATGTTAGCCAGAAGGAGAGTTGTAAGCAAAAAGGGTCGGGCTGGGTCGTTCCGGTTCATCTCCCCGCCTAGCCTACACAATCCAATGAAAGGATCGAAGAAAAGGGAAAAAAGAAGAAGAAGAAAAGGGTAGCCACAGTGTTAGCCCTGGTTCATTTGGGTTCGGCCGCGATTAGGACAACCCGGAGATTTGAATTTTATCCCTGTAAATGTCTTGACAGTTTGAATAAAGCCTGGCGAGAATGTCTCAAAAAAAAGCAAAAAGGTGCTCATATGACTAGACATATACATTGTGGAGGTTAACCTTAAGAACAATTCTTAAGGGCAGCCATTGGGGCTTACTTTATAGCAAATGTAATCTTAGGGCATGTTCAATGCGGACTCTTGCCACGTATGTAAACGTCGAGACACGTGTCAATATAGTTTGCCATGTGTCTGAATTCCAGCAAACCAGACGCAAACGGGGAGGTTTCCGGGCGTTCGGGCCGCTGCCATGTACACGTTCGACACTCTGATCCCACCCAAAATATCTCTCGCACCCTTTCCCCGGCGTCTGCACCTCCGCTCTGTGCCGCATTCATGTCTGCCTAGAGCGGACACATTCATGTGCCTAGAGCGGACGCATTCATTTTCTGCCGAGATCGACGCCCGCGCCATGATCCAGTATATGTGCATGTTGTGCTTGTTCAATGACGGAGAGGCATGACTGGGCGCGACGGGATGACTATCTACGGCATTCAAGCCGGCTGCCCATCCATCCACTTGTCGGCATTAAAACAGGCAGGGCAGTCGAGAAACCCACCCTGCATTGAAATAGCCCGCCGCTTAGCCTGGGTGGTGCCCGCTATTTATACGTGACCGCGCCAAGCACGATCCACATTGCGCCACGTCTGCTTCCATTCCTTCTCTGTGCACCACCTCCATCATGATGCGGAGCTCTAGCCCGTTGTGGGGGAAGTCCCTCGATAGAGCAGCGAGTTAGCCGGCCTTGAGGCCAACTGACAGGGTTGTCGTGCGTGACAGGCAGAGGTCAGCTTGTCGGTGAGCTCGCCAGATGTGAGCGACGATGTCCTGGCGATGAAGGAGGCGTGCGACGATGAGCCAACTCCCGCGTCGGATCATATCGGACTTCACCATGGAGCAGACGCAAACGCACTTCAATATTGTCACGATGGAGGACGGTCATGAATCTGGTATGCGGGCACAGACGCACTTCACAATGGAGGGGTCAACGTCGTCATGAATTCGGTCCAGTTTGGATGAAAAATGTCTGTTTTGCATGAGATTGTCCGATTTGTTCAAATAGTTTGTTTAAATACCAGTCGACGGGAATGTCTCCTCCCACTGAACGCACATCGCCAAAAGGTATAAAATAAACACACAAAAAATGCAATAATCAACGCCAAGTCTAGAACTTAAACCATGGTAGGTTTGTTTCACCACAAAAAACCTAACCATCTAAGCTCTCAGTTCGTGGCATTATACTTTGGTGATGCCCTAAAAAGAACCCTCGTTCATCAAGGATGAAAGGGCACGCATCATTTTATCATTTCTTTTGTGTTTTTTTTTACAAAAACACCCTATCTGAATTAATTTTCTATCATATTTTGTGCCTTGGTCCCACATGTCAGGTTTTCCCCCCCGGTCGGTCGGTCGGCCTGGCTCGACCGGATCAGCTCGATCGACCCACCCATCCAACCCCCCTTCTTCAAGCCTCCCCCGCCCCTCCCCCTCTGCTACCTAGGTCTCGTCTCGTCAGCACGCCCGCGCCGCCGCCCCCATCCCGTCGCCACCGCCGGAGACTGACGGAACTCCTCCCTCGCCCTCTCCACAGCCCCCGGCGCGCGCGGAGGCCCGTCTCCCCCAGGTACGGCAGCCCTGACCTAGCCCGCTCGGACCGGCAGAGCAGTCGAATCTGAGCCCCCGTCTCCTCTCGCCGAGGGCTCGATTCGGTTGCTCCAGCAGCGGATTCTAGCTCGCCCTCCCCAAGGTTTCGGGGGGCGCTTCGTCCGTGGCGTCCGACGCGCCGTACAGTGTCGTCTGAGTAGTGGGTACTGACAGCGCTGCTTGTGTTGCCAGGCAGGTTCGCCTCTCTCGCTCGCTGCCGCGCCGTCGGAGGATCCCGCGAGGATGTCGTGGTGCACCATCGAGTCTGATCCCGGTAAGCGAGCAATCTCCCACCGTTTACCCTGGTTTTCTTACCTAGATTAGCTGTATGTGCTCGGATTACATGCTTCGCTAGCTCTGGGTTACCCCATCAGTGCAGAGTGCTGTGTTTACTTATTGGATTGGATGGCCTGCTTTTCGGATTTGATTAATCTGGCGGTGCAGGCAATGCGCTTTTAGTACATGCTGCACTTGTGAGAATCAGAGTAGTGGACTAGTAAATTTGTGTGTTCGACAGCTTATGCTATCTGTTCGCGTCGCATTGGTGTGAAAGCCTGCTCCTCTTTTTTTTTCATCACAAGTTCATAACTTCACCTGAATTCGGTTCGGCTAGGCATCCTTGATTCCTCACCTCCCACTGTACATAACTAGTTGTGAAGAAAGCCCCGAGTCATTTGTGCTGCTCAGCAGCAGAAAATTGTATTTCTTGCGGGGAATAATCAAGTGCTGAAGTGTAAATAAAACACCCACCATGCTAGTTTGAGTAAACCACTGGTTATACCATAGGGAGCTCTGTATCTTGTTAGTATGCTGCCTTCGTTCTTTGTTCAGACTAACAGTTGATTGCAATCTTCTTGTCATTGTTTTGAACATCGGATATGAATATTTTTGACCAGAGCCTATGCTTTGTAGGTGTTTTCACCGAGTTGATTCAGGAGATGCAAGTAAAAGGTGTACAGGTTAGCTTCCAGGGGTCATTGTTTTCCTTGTTTGAACGTAATTTAGCTATGAAACCTGTCATCAGTTAGTTTTGGTATGTAGTCATGCAATGCTGTAAAATACTTGGTTGGAATTGCTTGTTGAGCTGTGCAGTCTAAGAGTCTTCTGAACTGGTTTGGCTTATGTTTTAAAGAATTTTATTTTATGATAACCTGATTGAATCTGCAGCGAGGAACTACCTCTACAGCTCTGTAGTATGTCTGTATGAGTATACATTAGTCAAGGCTTATGGTGAACTCGTACTGCTATACTAGTTGTGATGACATGGACCTGAATTTAAAGAACAAATCCTTTATGAATAGATGCACTTGAGTTTAAATAACAGTAACTTTCTAGGATAAGAGAACCTTTTGAAGAAAATATCGTGGGCCAGTCAAATGGCTTTGGATATAATGTGAAGACATAATAATCCTGACAGTTGTTGGGTTTTATATATGCCTGTATGCCACTGTTAAACCAATGCAAACTTAAGGCGTCTTCACTGAAGCTTTTTTCTACACCTGCTAATCTATTTCCGTGCATTCATGTTATGATAATGTTCATATGAGGCTATGGTTCTATTTTTAGTTTGAGTATGCATGTAGCATTAGGGGATTTTATGATTTTTATGGATAGCATTGTATCTGAGGTTTCCAGTTATATTTGAAACAGGCTCCTACAAGCTATGCCTTTTTTGGGGTGTAGCTGTTTGCCGTCTCTTACATTGTGATGCTATTATTAAACAGGTGGAGGAGCTTTACTCTCTCGATGTGGACTCTCTTAGTCAACTACAGTGAGGATCTTTGTTGTTAGTGTCATTAATCTCTTCTCTCTGGATGTCCTTAACATATTTTTTACTTCTACTTCTCATAGGCCAGTATATGGGTTAATTTTTCTCTTCAAGTGGATGCCTGGAGGAAATGATGAACGGCCTGTTGTCAGCGACCCAAACCCAAACCTGTTCTTTGCTCGCCAGGTTAATTTCGTTTTGTTCCTGAAGCTGCCTATGTTTATTATTTAGCATTCAGTACTTGGTCTAAGTCATCAATGTTCAGGTGATCACGAATGCATGTGCCACTCAAGCTATCCTCTCAATCCTCATGAACCGCCCAGAAATCGACATAGGTCCAGAGCTATCAAACCTGAAGGAGTTCACAGGGGCTTTCGCGCCTGACATGAAGGGCCTGGCTATCAACAACAGCGACTCCATCCGGGCTGCCCACAACAGCTTCGCAAGGCCAGAGCCATTCGTCTCCGATGAGCAGAAAGCCGCCACCAAGGACGACGAGGTCTACCACTTCATAAGCTACATACCATTCGAGGGCGTTCTGTACGAGCTGGACGGGCTGAAGGAAGGGCCGATCAGCCTGGGGCAGTACACGGGCGGGCCCCAGGACCTCGGGTGGCTGCAGATGGTGCAGCCAGTGATCCAGGAGAGGATCGAGCGCTACTCACAGAGCGAGATCAGGTTCAACCTCATGGCCATCATAAAGAACAGGAAGGACGTGTACACTGCCGAGCTGAAGGAGCTGGAGAAGAAGAGGGAGCAGATCCTGCAGGAGCTGAGCAACGAGGCCACAGCCGCCGCAGAAAAGGAGCCCCTGAACGGCGCGCTGGCGGAGGTGGCGTTGGCGGTGGAGGCCGTGGGCGAGAAGATCGCGATGGAGGAGGACAAGTTCAGGAAGTGGAAGACGGAGAACGTCCGGAGGAAGCACAACTACATCCCGTTCCTGTTCAACCTCCTCAAGGCGCTGGCGGAGAAGAAGCAGCTGACGCCGCTCGTCGAGAAGGCCAGGCAGCAGAAGGCCCCCGCCGCTGCCGGCGCCGCCGGCGCCAGCACGAGCTGAACCTCCTCGTCATCTTTTGAGGCTGCATCATGTTATCAGACACTCCTACACACAGTACCTAGTTGGCGGCTTAGAGATGTTGCTGCTGCTGAGGCTATAAACCATTTTCTGCTGAAATCTTGTTTTGCGTTGCGGTGTGCTGGATTATCGATGTTATTGCTGGTTAGAGCTGTAGAAGGGGTCTATTTAATCTTGAATTAAATGAGGGTGTGGTAGGTACTCTGTCTGAAGGATAATGGTGTTGCCTGGGTATGGATGACAGAGTATGATATTCTCCCAACTCTTGCATCTTTGCTGTATCAATGACATGTGGGACCACGTGCCATGGTGATGTTAGCTATGTGCCAGGAAGCTTGTAGTGTTATACCTTCCCCATTCCTGGGGTTGTGACTTCTGGTGTTAGCTTAAATTCAGGGAACAATGTGAGCGAGGTCTGCGAATTCAGTGACCGACAATGCATTTTACTCCAAACAGAAGACGAGGGTAAGACCTCGTGTTCTCCTGTGAGTTCATAGAATAGAGGTGGATGCTCAAGTTTCTCAGTTCATTCTTATTATTTGTAAGGAAATAGAAGGAGCAAATATCTTCCATACCATGCTTTATAAGCAGGTAGGCCGTCTCTTTAAAAATAACTAGATGATTAATCTAAAAAAACTAGATGTTGCCTCACATATTATTACGAGCATCAGTAGCAGCATATTTTAACATGAATATTTAAATAAATTTACCTAAAATGATAATGCCCACACGTGTGGCACTTATCAACATGACCCGGACGCAGTCGATGCCGTTCGATTCATTTGCACGAATATTGCAGCAGCTGCCATCTGGGTCGAGAGTCATGTAAGCACCTAGGGTCGTGTCGGCGTTATCATTTAGTGCCACACGTGGGCACTCCTTTTTTGAACGGACACACGACGCTCACCCGAACGTGTGGGTGAAACAGCTCTTCGCCCGCACGACGCTCGCCTGAACGTGTGGGTGAAACTGCTCTTCGCCCACACGATGCTCGCACGGTGATAGATGACAACTACTGTTGTACACATGTGGCAATTAATTAATCACATATGGCAACTATGGTTGACCATACATGAGAACTATGGTTTGACCACACGTCGCAACTCCAATTAGTTAGGGCCTGTTTGGTTCCAATAAGTCGCCCGACTTATAAGTCAGGTGACTTAAAACTAGTGACTTATAAGTCACGCCTGTTTGGTTGTCACCTGACTTATAAGTCACCTGACACATCCTCCCACACCAATCAACATCATGCAGATGGTAGGACCCACGCAAAAAGGGGTGACTTATAAGTTTTAAGTTGGGGTGGAGCAACTTATGACTTATAAGTTGGGGTGACTTATAAGTCGGGTGTGTTTGGCAAAATAAGTCACTTTTTCCACTTTTCAACTTATAAGTTGGTGACTTATTTGGAACCAAACAGAGCCTTACACAGGGTAACTATATTTAATGATACATGAGAACTAAAGTTAATCACATATGGCAACTATAATTAATTACACATGACAACTAATGTTAATTACACATGTTCACGCTCACTATGTGCGGCTGAGCAGTTGCCACACAGGGTCGTGTGGGCCGTCGTAGCTGCGCCCGAACATGTGGGCGGTTTTAGTGTTCGCCCACATAGAGTCTTGTGGGCTGGCTCCTGGGTACGACCGGACGAGTTGTGTGGTCGGGTGTCTATTGTGCCACACGCCTGGCAGTTATCGGCGTCCAAAATTAATAGTATGAGAACTAAGATTTAAAGTATATATCATTTATTGCACTTGATTATATATTGTTCTAAAATATAGAACAAAAGCAGTGCCAATTAAAAAAGTATATAAGCAGTATAATAAATTCTAAAAAAACAATAGCGCAACAGAATGGAACGATGTACGTTTGCATGTTGAGGTGACATGTTGCATGTTGATAAAAATAGTTTCAGTGTGAATCATTTATTTAGATATTTAGTTATATAGGATTAAACAACCACATGTCGGCACCAGATAAATATAATTTTTTGGCACATCGGTATTTACATTTGTTTACATGCAGGAAAATATTTTTTTCAACATGACGGTTGTTCGAACAAAGAATTTCCTTGTATGGTCATTCGCACGGCAGCACCTCCTTCGGAGTTTTCTCGGAACTCCGGCTTGAAGAACCCCTCAACATCCTCCTAATCATTTTCTTTTCTCTGAAAAATTTCTAAATCTATCAAAACTACTTTGAACCGTATAAATTCAATGTTCAAGCTCATATACATGGTCACCAACAGTAGCAAAGTTTGCAAAACATAAAGCACTAGAACAACAACTATTTGGACCATCAGAGGAGTCACATACCAAGGAGCGATTCCTCAAAACAATTTCGAAAACGGAGCTCCGAGCAAGGAGATCAAAAATTGCACGGAAATAAGCAAGAACACAGGCTAATTTCATTCAAATCATGCAAATTATAGTCCAAAACAAGAGCAAAAGTGTATGAAAAAGTAGATATGTTTGGACAAATCATAAATACACAAACTTTATGTATTTATTGGTTCTATTATGACTATCTGAAACCTTAAACATAAATAAACTGGGTCCGCTAACAAAAGGATGTAGTTGACAGGCGGAGAAAAAAGGCTTTAGTTGAGGGGGTCCTTATTGTACAACTCTAGAGCCCGCCTTGTGTCATCTATACCCAAGTGTCAAGAATAAGCTTTGGACAGAGATCATGTTAATAGATAAGATTTCGACATAGCTCGTGGTGCTGGCCTCCCTTGTTCCTTGCGCCGTGAAACATGATTAGAGTGAACACTAATAAAAGTGGTCGGCGAAAGATAAATACGCATTTCTTTGAAGAAAATAAAGATAGATACTCTATTTTGGATAGAGATCAAATTAACATATAAGATTTCGACAGAGCTCGAGGTGCTGGCCTCCCTTGTTCCTTTCATTGCGAAACGTGATTAGAGTGTACACAAATAAAAGTTGTCGGCCCAAGATAAATACGTCTTTCTTAAAAAAAGATAAATACACTTTTGGCCTCACCCATATTTGTATTTTGTAACCAGGAAAGCGTACTTTCAACATGATTGGTTGGTATATTTGTCGCATACCAAACAATACAAAATCCGGTTATTGCAGTCGTGGCGGTATTCGAGCACGGTATGAAAACAATGACCTAGAAGAAAAAAAGCGTTTGATGGTGGATGGATGGATGGATAGACGAGTCTTGAATGACTAATTTGTATGACTTAAATGAATTACAAATGTATATTGTTCTTTGTGTCTATTTTACTTTACTTAGATATTTATGGTAGGCATCTATAGAAGTTTATTGATGTTTCTAGAATCATGCTTGTCTAGTTGGTGTGCAAATAAGTAAATTAGATAATTACCTATATACGTACCTTTTTTGCGGGGAGAACTAAAAAAGTTCTATAAAGAAATTTTTGAGTGTTTTGTCCTACAGACTGTTGCGTCGGTTGTTTACCAGTTATTTATCACCAAGGATGCCTTCAATGGTTATGGGTTCATTATTTAGAGCAACTCTAGCAGACCCCGCATCCCGTCCCGACCCGCAAAATAACCGCCAAATTGCGGGCCGGGGCCGGAAAATCCGCACGATCAGACCTCGCATCCCGTCCCGGCCCGCAAATTTTTTTGCGGGCGCGGCAAATCTTCTCCCCCAACCTCTATCTTCACGGGCTGGGAGGCCGACCCGAGCCGAGCCCCTATTTGGCGGGAGGGACATTTCCGTGTGCCCTTTTCCGCTCCACGCACCCTCCACCACCATTGCCCCCCCTCCGCAAGCTCCGATTCCTCCTCCCCGGTCGTTCCTCGGTGCCATGGACGACCCCATGCTGTCCCCCGTCATCATCGAGGTCGTGCATGCTCCTTCCCCTCGGGCGGATCTCGTCGCCGGCCATGTTGTCCCCGCCGCTGTCGCCCAAGAACACACCGCGCTGGCCCGCAAGTGGCAGGGCAACGTGGTCGTGCAGGGCGGGAATCCGGCTACCCCCACCTTGACGGCCCCGCTCCGGGCGCCAACGCCGCAGTGCGATCCCCGCCGGCGGCAGAGAAGGCCGGCAAGGCCGCGGGCGTAAAGCGGAGGAAGGTTTCG